GTTTCGAAAATAATTAATGTAGTTAGCATAATGCTTTTAAAGCTCTAGTAAAGGCATATGTGGTTATTTATGTAATGTAGTGCTTTATGTAGTAGTAATGAATAAATCTTTTGGATAAATGTTTTTTCTCTACAGGCCTCTCTGAATCCTTTCAATCCATATTGATTTTTGGAATGCTCAAAATTCGACTTGAGCATCTAAATCTGGGTCACTACCAGCAAAAACATCTCTGAACAAGATTCTAGCACCATGCCAAATGTGTCCGAATAAGAAAAGCAAAGCAAATGAAGTATGTCCAAAAGTCAACCAACCCCTTAGACTGCTACGAAAAACACCATCGGATTTCAAAGTAGCACGATCTAATTCGCTTAACCCAATTGAGCACGTCTAGCATCTTTTTTCACAGTAGCAGGATCGCTATAACTCACTCCATTGAGTTCGCCGCCGTAGAACAGATGGCTGTCCGAAGTGCAAGGGGTAAACTCAGATAGGATAGGATTGTGCGTGTCGGGCCCTTCGGGTGTCATATTTTGGCCGAGTTTACCGTACCTCCGGCCCCTATGTTAGGCNATCCGTCAGAGTAAGGAGAAAAAATGAAGAAACGGTTGAAGGAGGCGTTTCTTCCCTTTAATTATGTCAGGACCGTGTATCAATGCATATAGAATTTAAAGCAAGGCAGTTGTTCTATAGATGTGTATTCTACAGAGTTTTACCAACTAATAACGAGAAATAATGTAAGAGAATCAGAAGACCAGTTGGTGGCGCACTACATTGGTTGACTACGGTTGAATTTGCAAGATGTTCTTAATAAATTTCGTTGATGTCTGTTTCAGAGGCTCATCAGCGTGCACTTCAAGCTGAAAATCAACAACTACACCGTTCTACAGTTGGCATTTCTGGCGATCCATTTGGAGGTGGGGCTCGACCATTTGCCCCAAATCCCACATTTGGTCCGTCCCAATCCTCTACATCTGGGGGTCGGGGCGCTGATCCGAACACTCGACCAGCGGTCCCTCCAACCACTAGTCTAGGTAGTTGGGCTCCTTCTGGTGGTCGAGGGCGTGGTAGTCAGTGCTTTGGGTGTGGTGGTTTTGGTCATTTAAGGAAGGATTGTCCATCGGAAGGACAGTCACGCCCAAGCTTGTTCGTCGGAGGGGCAACACAAGTTGATGTTGTTCATGTGGTGAATGAAGAAGAAGAAGAGACCGAAGTTGTGCATACAGGTGACATGGGGCATCTTTTGGTGGTGCGGCAGGCGTGCCTTACGCCTAAGGGGTCATCTGAGGACCTACAGCGGAACAACATTTTTCTATCCACATGTACCGTTGGAGGAAAGGTATGCAGGTTCATCATTGATTCTTGCAGTTGTGAAAATGTGATTTCTGAAGCTGCTGTGCAAAAGCTATAGTTAAACACCGTACCTCACCCTGCTCCTTATAGCTTGGCATGGTTGAGATGAGGTAATGAAATTTGTGTTACTAGACATGTGTTGGTATCTTTTTCTATTAGCAATGTGTATCGTGATAGTGTTTGGTGTGATGTGGTGCCTATGGACATGTGTCATCTGTTGTTGGGTCATTCCTAGCAGTTTGATAGGGAAGTGTGTCATGAAGGACGTCGGAATGCGTACACGTTCACCTTTTCGGGTAAAAAGATTGTACTACTACCCTCCAAAGATACTCATTGTATGTCTTCGACAGGGACAGTAGTAATCTACTTTCTCGATCCTTGTTTGTGTGTGAGATGTTGGCGGAAGGTGTTTTATTGTTAGTGGGAACTAGGACAACGGGAGTGTCGACGGTTCCTATAGCAGCCGAGAGGAAGGGTCTTCGCCCCAAAGCTACCGCCTTGGTGTCTGAATTCCACGATGTGTTCCCAGATGACCTTCCACAAGGTCTTCCACCTTTGTGGGATATGTAACATCAGATTGATTTAGTGCTAAGCGCATCGATGCCCAACCGCCCACATTATCGAATGAGCCCGACAAAACATGAAGAGTTGAGAAAATAGGTAGAGGAGTTGGTGCAGAGGGGTTACATCATAGAGAGCCTCAACCCATGTGCAGTCCCCGTACTTCTAGTGCCAAAGAAAGATGGAAGTTATCGGATGTGTATAGACAGTAGAGCCATGAACAAAATAACAGTTAGTTACCACTTTCTGATACCGAGATTAGATGACTTATTTGATCAATTGGCTGGAGCAACAATATTTACCATACTAGACTTGAAAAGTGGTTACCATCATATCAGAGTCCGCCCTGGTGATGAATAAAAGATATTATTTAAGACACGGGAAGGATTGTTCGAGTGGCTAGTTATGCCCTTCGGATTATCCAATGCACCGAGCACGTTCATGCGGGTGATGAACCAAGCACTCCGACCATTTATTGGTAAGTGTGTTTTGTATACTTTGATGACATATTATTATATAGTGGGTCAGAGGAGTCTCATGGTGAGCATCTATGGGAAGTCCTTACTGTTCTGCGCAAGGAGAAATTATTTGCAGCCCCAATAAAGTGTGTATTCTATACCGATAGTGCTTTGTTTTTAGGGTATGTTGTGTCAACCAGTGGGGTGACGATGGATTCAGCTAAGGTTGAAACGATCCGGCAGTGGTCGCGGCCACAATCAGTTTCTGATGTGCGGAGTTTCCATGGCTTGGCGTCATTTTATCGATGATTTATTCGGCACTTTAGCACCATCATGTCTCCCATTACTAATTGCATCCAGGAGAGTAAGTTTCAGTGGACTCCCAAGGCGGAGAAGGCGTTTGTGACCATTAAGGAACGCTTGATTTCAGCCCCGATATTTGCGTTGCCTCATTTCACAAAGACTTTCGCATTACATTGTGATACCTCCAAATTGGGCATCGGAGCTGTCCTCAATCAGGAAGGAAAACCAATAGCTTATTTCAGTCAGAAGTTAGTAGGGGCTTGTAGGAGGTATAACACTTATGATGCAGAACTTTATGTCGTTGTTCAGACCATTCGCCATTGGCGACATTATCTATTTCAGCGAGAATTTGTCTTATACAGTGATCATGAAGCCTTCTAACATTTGTCCAGTCAAGAGTCTGTGTTTACCCGTCATGCATCGTGGGTTGCCTTTTTACAACAGTTTAACTTTGTCATTAAGCATCAGGTTGGTTCTTCTAATCGTGTGGCAGACACACTCAGTCGACAACATGGGTTATTAGCATATCTACAGGTGGCGGTTACCAGGTTTGACACATTTGCCTCTCTTTATGCTGATGATCCTTATTTTGGCCCCACATTTCACAGTTTCTGCAGGGACCCCATCCTCCATTTCTGTTAGAGGATGGTTATGTATTTCGAGGTGTTCAGTTGTGTATACCAGATTGCAACCTCCGTCTGAAATTGATTGAGGAATTCCACGACGAAGGTCATGTTGGCCGAGATCGCACTTTGGCTCTGGTCAACACTTCATTTTTCTGGCCTACTATGCACCGTGAGGTGGAGAAGTTTGTTTCGCGGTGCAGGGTGTGTCATGTAGTAAAAGGCAAAGCCACCAACCCTGGCCTTTATCAACCCTTACTAGTGCCTTCAGCCCCGTGGACTGATATTAGTATGGATTTTTTTCTGGGTTTACCGTGCACTCAGCGTGGTAATGAATCTATTTTTGTGGTGGTGGATCGCTTTTCAAAAATGGTGCATTTCATCCCTTGTAAACGTATTACGGATGCTATCAAGGTTTTGCAGCTATTTTTCAGAGAGATTTATCGTCTTCATGGATTGCATACTTCTATTGTGTCTGATAGAGACACCAGATTCATCGGTCACTTCTGGGGGAGCTTATGGAAGTCAGTGAACACATCGCTCAATTTTAGTAGTGCTTACTACCCTCAAACTGATGGGCAAATAGAGGTAGTTAATCGTTCTTTAGGTGACTTGTTGCGGTGCTTGGTTGGGGATAATCTACGCTCATGGGATCAGCGGCTTAGCCAGGCAGAGTTTGCGTATAATCATGCTAGAAATAGAAGCACCGGTTTCAGTCCGTTCCAGGTTGTGTATAGTATTCTGCCCCGTAGCCCTGTTGATTTATTGGCTCTGCTCTCTAAGACTCGGCTGCATGGGACAGCTGTTGACTTTGCTCGTAGTTTGCAACAAGTTCACGAGGAAACACGAGCTAATCTGCTAGAGTCCAACCGTAAGTATAAAGAGGTGGCTGATCGGCATCGATGTCCTGTTGAGTTTAACATTGGGGATTATGTTTGGACGGTACTGACTAAGGATCGAGTGTCATCTCATGAGCATTCGAAGTTATCACCTTGTACCATTGGTCCAGTGGAAATTATGGAGAAGATCAACCCCAACGCCTATCGCCTTCGACTTCCTTCCCATATACGGATTTATATCACAATTTCTCAACCTATCTACCCAAAATAAACCAGTTCTTATGCGATATGAAAAAATTCAACAAAAATCAGCTGCCATTCGCACCACTTAACTTGCTCTTCAAATCATCCTGTAGCAAAATATCCAGTAAGGCGCAGGAGGAATCTGCTTCTCCATAGGCCTCTGCCATGTTCAACTCTACCGTGGAGTCAAATTCATGAATGCGATGTCTCGAAATCTCCCTATTTTCCAACAACAGTAACATCGTGTGAAGACAATCATCTGCATCACCATTTTATTCTCCAAGAAATAGCGTCTCCAAACTGAAACTTGTTAATGAGGGTGCTAAAGAGGCGCTGACCTAATTGGGACATCCACATGCACCTACTGAAACTTGTAAACAGATTTTACTCGCCAGTAGGCAAATGTTAACGATGTGTTTTTACAAGACAAGACGGAAACCATTCTGAGGGAGCTGGAGATGTGTGTAACCCCCTGGTTCACAAAGTTCCGGCTGGGCACTGTCAAGATGCAAACCGGCAGCAAGCTGGAGCTTCTAATTTAATATCTGATCATATAATTTGTTTCGTGATTGATTCAAGGTACCAATTCTTAGTAGACACACTATTGATTACGTTTCTCAAAATTTAAAGAGAATGGATTAGCATGGAATGCGTTTATTCATAATTTCCCAAAACTGAATACAAACTGAGAAGAAAAGGTACACATTACATGCTTATCGGCTTTACAGTGTTTCCAGTTGCTTTCCGGGCTTATGGTCACATACATGCCATTCAGCAATACACAGTACAGAACTTGTATCCTCTCATAATGTTACATATAGGAAAAAAGTGCGTATTTACTTGGATGCTTACATATTGAAGGTTCGAATATCGTCATTTAATTGTGTATTTATGGATCATTTTGATAGAAAGGCTCATCGCTCCTACAGCTAGTCAATGACAAATTGCTTTTTCACAGAGAACCATCCTACAAATTGGAGGAACAATATATATCAGTAAGGATGGAAAATACTTTCCCACATGGCATTTGCTAAAACTAGGGGGTGTCAAAAGGCTAGGAGGCACATGGCCATTTAGAACGAAGCCAATATTAAATAAACTTACATATATTATTTGGTCTAGTCGCAGAGAGGTAGGCAAGAAGCATAGCAAGTATGATGAAGATGACAACGATCTGCATTAAAACAAAAATAAGAAATATCCACTAGACGAAGGACGAGTTTGATAAAAATTAAAGATAGGCATCGGAACACTCACCGTAGTTGAATTGTATCTAGGCTCGCTCCTAATGATGTAAGATTTCCTGGTAGTCACCATCAAGGTTAGCTAAACATCAGAAAAAATGTTTGTAGACAATTACTCAAAAAAGTCAACCTACCTATTGTTTAGAGATCCAGAGTCTCTGCAAATTTTCAAGATTGTTTCTAGCTTCTCCTTTGTTTTATTAGCGTTAGGATCACTGTTGTCCACCTACAGAAAAGAAACTGTTTTTCAGAAAACAAAAGAAGAAATCTACATGTTAATCAGGAATTAACAGCAAAGAAAAACTAGACTCAAAAGGTTACAATGCTTTAAACATCCAAGTCAAATTTTCTTTATTAATAATTAATCTGTAAGATACTCTATTGTTTTCGACTTCCTGACAAAGGAATAGCTGGTAAATGAAAAGATTTGAAACAGGAAATGCAATTTTCGGGGTACAAGAAGCTGTGGGAATTTTACAAGACGGGAATATCTCCCCATGTGAAATTGGCATACCGATTAGAATGTTTTGCTAGACTACTTCAAAGCCAGAAGTCAAAAGAAGATATAGCCTATGTTTGGTAGAAACTAAAATCTAAATTTTAATCTAAGTCAAAGTCAACAATTAATTTTAACTATATATTTAATAGGACCCAGAGCTTTTCAATCACACATGTCGTCAACTTTTATCAAAATCTATTAAAAATTTGATTTTAATCCCTACCAAACAAAGGCGTAGATTAGATAAATGCTGGCCGACACATAGACTGGACAATTCCTTGATTTTCTCATTTTGATATTTTAAGGATTACAAGACTCAACACTGGAATCTCTGGAAAGAGATGAAAGATGCTCAGAAAACATCAATCAAGGAAAAGATACATTTTTTCATCTTGATATAGACTGCATTAAACAAGGTTACATGACATGTTCTGGAACAGTTTACATGTGAATATTATAACATTATGCAGATGAAGGGTCATACCTTAGACTTCAGCATGCGAGAGAAATCATAAAAATCCCCATAGACATCTGACATTGTTTTGGTTCGGTCAATAACTTTAGCTGTAAGACCTGAGGAGATGAGATCACAAAACTTAAAATAAGTTACATATTGTATTGATTGAAAAACAAACTAAAACTAAAACTAAAACTAAAATAAAAGAGTAGCTCAAGTTATAGCTATCATATACCCTTGGTACAAGAAAATTTTAAATAGCATACACAAGAAATAGGGTGGGGAAAGGTGGAAATTCCATGGTGATCGAATTTTTGTGACGTTCTATTGGAACGAGGCAGACTAATTATAAAGAGATTACTATGAAAACTAAACAAGCACTTAGAAGTAAGAAAAAAGTAACTTACCCAAACATATTTGGAAACAAAATGTTACTTAAAAGTGAAAGTAACTTTTACTTAATTTAAGCTTAGGTAAACATAGTCCAATAATTTAATAGCTAAGAAGCTTTTCGTCGTTGAGCTCTGGTCGGGGAATATTTATACATAAAAAGTTCAAAACCACTGAAGGAAACAAATTATCTTCACTAACTTGAAGGCCTCCTAAAGCTGCAACCGATACAATTTGATCAAAGTTCAAGTTGGTTTTGCTTCAGTAATTTTATTGGTCAAAATAGTAATTCTTTTCATGTTCACATTAACACTTCACCTCCTTTAAGGGATATAAGTTAGTTCATAATTTATGATCCAATATCATATCCTCAGATATAAATTACTCGTAGAAAGGAAGAAACCACACAGAATCCATTAAAATGAACAGATCAAACTTTATGTAGCATCAGATCACATCAAGAGATAAACATCGTACCACGTCTCATTTTCACAACACCCCTGAAGACTTGAATATTGTTGTAGCACAAAGCTAGTGTTCCAATTGCCATGATCTGGTAATTTAGAAAAAACAAATTCAGATGCATTTTCTTGAAGGGGTGGATTAAAAATCTTGATGCATGAT